TCATCAGTACTACTATTTGCTCATTTCAGAAGTTTCATAGGAGATTATTGCATTTATCACCTGTCGTCCCCTGCCCTTCGTTCTGGCTCTGTGATCAGAACACACCTAGAAGCCTTCTGTTTCCTAAATGTAACATGGCTATTCATAGTGTTTCCTGCACCTTTGTTTATGCTCCTCCGTTTGCTTAGAATGCTTTTTTCTCTGCCAGGTAAACTCCTATTTATTCTTTAGTACCGAATTCCAGTGACTCTCTCTCTCTCTCTCTCTCTCTCTCTCTCTCACACACACACACACACACACATACACACACACACAATGCAGCTGCAATAAGGATGGAGATGAGGCACATATATAATGTGTATATATATTTTTGTAAAGTATTAACTGCTGCCACAGGTGGAGTTGGATACTTCTCCCGCGTTCCCATAATTCTTTATCTATAATTGTATTATATAGCATTGTGTAGTAATATTTGTCTACATATCAGTATCCCCAGAAAACAGTGAGCTTTGATTCTGCCACATAATGTGCATAAATACTAAATGAGGATATACATTTTTTTTGCGTCAGCACTCAAGGAACAGGTTTTTTATTTATTTATTTTTAGTTTTTACATGCTCAGAGTACTTATTGCTTAGCTCATTTTCTCCCTTGGAAGATTTTATAATCTGTAAGCTATTAAAGATCTTCTGTTTTTTGGGCCAATTTTGCACTGCCAGGTTCTTTCATATTTCAGTGAATAAATATACAATATAGAAAAATATAGTATGTTTAAAGTACCACCTGTGGCCATTATGGAAATATGGATGAAAAAAATCCAATATGCTGTGTATTATAGTGAGTAAAGGAACTTGACAAGCTAATGAGGGTGCTCCTGGAGGGAAGAAGCAGTATACGCAAAGGCACAGAAGTTTGAAGTATGATGGCGTGCTCAGGGAAATGCAAGTATTTAGTATTGAAATATGGTGAGGGAGTTAGGGGAATGGTTATACAGAACCTTGTATGCCATATTGATGATAAAGGTTGGTGAAGGATATTGAAGAATCTATTTTATAAAGATTCCTCTGGCAGCTCTGTGGAAGATTAATTAGGGAGAAGGAAGACTAGATATAGGAGCACTGTTTCTAATGTTATTGCAGTAGTCTGGACAAGAGATACTGAGTGTCTGAACATGAGTAGCTACAATGAGGATGGAGATGAGAAGATGGAAAGGAGAAATGCTTATGCTTAATGTTTTATTAGAAATGAATCAGAGGGAGAGTAGAGAGTAGTAGCCAAATTTTTAGGTTTCTAGTTCAGGTGAAAGGTGGGTGTTGGTGAGAAAAGGAGGTTTGGGAAGTGAGTCTTGCATTTGTTGTATTAGAGATGCCTGTGGGATGCAGGTAGAGATACATGTTGTTAAAGATGCATAAGAATTCTGGAGTGAGTTCTTGCCTAGATAGATGGATTTGGGAGTCATCAGCATGTCAGTGATAGCTAAAACCATTGCATTGTTATATACCTGGGAGAATGTTGAGTCAGAAGAGGAGGAGATCAATGAGAGACCTTGGGAAACAGTGATCTTTAAAGGGAATTGTATTTTGTTTTTCATAGAAGCAAGAGAAGATGACCATTCTTATATGTAAAAGCTGTTCATTCTCATAAAATAAAACTTACTTTCCATAGAACCTTCAAAGTTGTAATGTATTTACTTGTTTCTTACAGTGCAGGAGCACCACTGCCACACACATTCCATTTTATTTTTGTATCTGTAATGGAGGGGAATTTTAGAATTGTGGTATACTTGGTGGAAGCAAAACAAGTTTATTTCTTGCTACCTTTAAGTAGCAGAATTGTATGTGTAATAATTTTATCATGTTTTTGCTAATTACTATTTTTTTTAATCTTTGATTTAATGAGTGACTACAAATATTCTTGTTTTTTTCTTTGAGAAGGAGTCTTGCTTTGTCACCCAGGCTGGAGTGCAGTGGCATGAACTTGGCTCACTGCAACCTCCACCTCCCAAGTTCAAGCGATTCTCCTGCCTCAGCCTCCCGAGTAACTGGGACTACAGGTGCGTGCCAGCACGCCTGGCTAATTTTTTGTATTTTTAGTAGAGACAGAGTTTCACCGTGTTAGCCAGGATGGTCTCGATCCTCTGACCTCATGATCCACCCTCCTCAGCCTCCCAAAGTGCTGCAATTACAGGCGTGAGCTACTGCACCTGGCCCACAAATATTCTTTAACATATGAAATTTTCATGCACAATAGATTGCATGAGGATATTCTTGTGTATTAGGGTGAAAAATGGGCTGATAGTGTTTTCAGAATTAATATCCAGTAATATTTTTTAAAAGTCAAGATTTTGGAGTAAGTCCTCCTCAAAACCCTTGTTTGTGTGTGCATGTGTGTGTATGTGCATGTATGTGTGTGTATGTGTGTAAAGTGTGGGAAACTACTTTATTATCTATAAAAACTTTGGAATGCAAATAATTTAAAGAGTAATTCAAAATTGAGAGTTTTCTATTTATATTGGATTGATGATGCTGAAGTATTATGTTATATATATGTGAATACACATACACACACACACACACACACACACAAATTTTTTGAGACAGAGTTTCACTCTTTTTGCCCAGGCTGGAGCGCAGTGGCACGATCTTGGCTCACCGCAACCTCCACCTCCCGGGTTCAAGTGATTGTAGTGCTTCAGCCTCCTGAGTAGCTGGGATTACAGGTGCTTGCCACCAAACCCGGCTAATTTTTGTATTTTTAGTAGACATGGGGGTTTCGCCCTGTTGGCCAGGCTGGTCTCGAACTCCTGACCTCAAATGATCTGCCTGCCTTGGCCTCCCAAAGTGTTGGGATTGCAGGCAAGAGCCACTGCACCTGGTGGTATTATGTCATATTTTGAATATTACCAACAATTCGATGGATACAGAAGTTGAGTAAGTAATTTTTAGAGTACCAGCACACAGTTGGAGAGAAAGCTGTGATTTGTTTGATTTGCCAATTTACTTTGCAATCAGGTACCCCTACAATATAAACTTCAGTGCCATCTTGTTAATCATTAATTCAGTTTCATGCATTAAGGTGTTTTTTCATATGTATATATTTTGCCTTCTCAGTTTTTTGAAGGCCAAGACTGTATTTTGCCATTTGTATCTTGTAGAGAACTTTGATAACACTTGAAATTATAGCCAATAAATATTTTTGAATAAAGTCACTAAAAAGTTAGATAAAAGGGCTTCTTTTAAGGTAGTCATTTATAAGGGTGTGTCAATGAGTTTAAGAGATAGTATAGCATATTGGAACATGGGATTTGTCTAGCAGACTTGTGCATCTTTTGGTTTAGTTAGGTTAATGATTCTAGGAAAGTAATGTAATTTTCTGAGGTTTAATTTCCTCTTCTATAAAATGGAGATAATAATACTAACAAAGTATTGAAAAATTTAAACAAAGTTGAATAGGGAAAGCACATAGTATGGAATTTAAAAATAATCATTATTGTTATACATTCCATCCTGTATCTAACAGCTATCTGTACTAGTGCTTCTCAAATATTTTTGATAGCAACCACTTAAGAAACACACTTTTCTGTCATCACTCAAAACAAAAGTTAATAAAACATTATTTATTCTTACTACATATGATGAACTCTAATATATTTTGTTGTAGAGAATTATTATTTTAAAGTTGTGGCCAGGGCCGGGTGGTGGCTTACTCTTGTAATCCCAGTGCTTTGGGAGGCCGAGGCGGGAGGATCACGAGGTCAGGAGATCCAGACCATCCTGGCTAACACAGTGAAACCCTGTCACTACTAAAAATACAAAAAATTAGCCGGACGTGGTGTCATGTTCCTGTGGTCCCAGCTACTCAGGAGGCTGAGGCAAGAGAATTACTTGAACCTGGGAGGTGGAAGTTGCAGTAAACCAAGATCGTACCATTGCATTCCAGTCTGGGTGACAGAGTGAGACTCCGTCTCCAAAAAAAAAAAAAAAATTGTGGCTGGGCATGGTGACTCATGCCTGTAATCCCAACACTTTGGGAGGCTGAGGCAGGTGGACCACCTGAGGTCAGGAGTTCGAGACCAGCCTGGCCAACATGGTGAAACCCCGTCTCTACTAAAAACGCACAAAAAATTAGCCAGGAATGGTGGCAGGTGCCTGTAATCCCAGCTACTTGAGAGACTGAGACGGGGAGAATCGCTTGAACCCAGGAGGCAGAGGTTGCAGTGAGCCAAGATCCCACCATTGCACTCCAGCCTGGGCAACAGAGTGAGACTCATTCTCAAAAAAAAAAAAAAAGTTGCAACCCAGTAAGTTGATTTCGTGATTCATTAATGAATTGCAATCTAAAATTTGTAAAACATGGATCTTTATCAGCATCTTTAACATAGTACTCTAGTTGATAGTTTTAACCATATAATAATTCTGGGATTAGTTATATAGTTGTATTTGTTTTTTATATTTTGTGGGGCTACACACTAATTTTAGGCCTTTACTGTGTTAGCTGTAGATTAGCAAGGAAATTTACTGACTAGAATACTGGCCTATCATTGTCGATATCTGAACTCTGTGGTGATTATGAATTACTTTTTTTCCTCTCAGTGATTCATTATCTTTTTTTTTTTGTTAGCATTACTGTGAAGTAGATTGGAACAGATATTATTTTACTAACGAGGATATCTAGAGAATGGAAGGATATGATGGCAGATCTTCTCAACTAATCTATATTAGAACTAACTTTTCAGATTAGACTTGGATACTCCAGCTATTAATTTATCTAACCTAAAAGATGGTTGCAAGGGCTTTCTTTGTATTTTGTAAACTTCAACTAGAATAGACAATGAAGTATCTTTGTATGATACTAGAATTTGGGATTGATACCATAAGATATAATTTACCTAATGGCACCATTGGTAGGATTAAGACATTTGATGATATTTAATAATATGCAAATTGTTGTTTCACAATATTAAATACTATTTTGAAACTTTTTTCTGCCCCTTTCTGTAGGGTTTCATATGTCCCCAGTGTATGAAATCTCTTGGATCTGCTGATGAACTTTTCAAACATTATGAAGCTGTTCATGATGCTGGTAATGACTCAGGTCATGGAGGAGAGTCTAATCTTGCTTTGAAGCGGTACAGTATGATAATTTTGAAGTATAATGTTATGGAATATGCATGTGAGATCATTGTTTAATCATGATTAATTAGCTTATGAAAATAGTAACCTTTTTGTATTATTTAATTTAAATCTGTCGTCATTTAGCATATCCTTCCTCCATTATTGTTAAAAACTATTCAATCCTTGACCAGTAACTATCTATGCCAGCAACTACAATACGGTACATAGGTTATGTTTTTAATGAAGACTGTGAGTTAGCGAAAGAAGATTAAATTATAGTTAGCATATTGTGTGTAATATAAGATACTATTTGCTTAGATGACTTTATAGTAAGTTGTTAAAATAATGAATTTAGCTAACAATTAAAATTTAATTTTTAATTTAAAATTTAAAAAATTCCATTTATAATCACCAGTATAGCAATAAGCACACGTACACATTGTGTTTTTTGATAAGTTGTCTTCATCATTTTAAGAAGTAAAAGTAAACTAAAATATAACTACTTAGAATAGCATTCAACAATATAACTTTGCGTTTCTTCCGCTATTGGAGAGAACTCTTGTCTTTTGTCCCCACTGAGGGCATAAAAGCTTCACTTCATTGTACTTGTAAAAAATTATTTTTATGCTCTCCTAAAAAAAAACTTACTGGTTAATTAATCTGCTGTAACACAAAGAATACTACATAAAGGAAAATATGATAACCACATAAACTTTGTGGTTGATAGATAATGTAGAACTATAAAACATGGCCATTTTACTCTATTAAAATATGTGGGAAAACCAGTGCTTTTGGGAAGAACGGATCTTCCTTTTTAATATGACTGTTAATGCTCTCGGGTATTTTTATGTGTGAATTAATAATTTCGGCCACTATTCTTTTGTCATTTGTTAGGAAATAGATTAAAAATATGTGGTTATATTAAATTATATTATAAATGTTTTTATGTTTAATATCAATTTAATAGAGTTTTGTTTCAACTATGAATTAGACCATGTCCAATATATGAACTTTTAACATAAAGGCATCCATGGTCTACCCTTGTTCTTCTTAACTTTTCATTTAGTGTTTTAGTTAATTGAAGCCTGACTTCTGCCCTACCATTCTCTGGCAGTAGCTCTGAAGGCCAGCAGTAACCTGGATTATTTTCAGTTCTTATTTTGCTTGACCTCTGTTTTGATTATCTTTACTGTCTGACAATCTACCCAAAGAGCCTAGTGTTTAAAACTATAACAGTTTATTAATTCTCATGATTCTTTGAATTGACTGCATAGTTCTTCTGCTTTAAGTGAGGTAGACTGGGGTTATAGGAAGACCAGAAGTTTCAAAGTGGCCTCACATTCATGGCTGGAAGTCCATGTTGGATGCCAGCTGGGAGCTTATCAGGGGCTTTATGTCAGAGGCTTCAGTTCTCTTTCATATGGGCCTCTTTATGTGGCTGCTTGGACTTCCTCACAAACTGATAGTTCGTTCCAAGATAGTATGTTCCAAGAGGAAAGAAGCAGAAGCTGCCAATCTTCTTTAGGCTTGATTCAAAAGTGTCAGAGCATCACTTCTGCCATTCTATTGGATAAAGAAGTCATAGTGCCAGGTCAGATTCATGAGGCCTGAAGATATACTTCGTCTTTTAGTGGGTTAGTGGATTTTGTGTATAGGAAAGGAAGAACTTGATTGTAGTCATCTCTGTAGACTATCTACAACAACCACTGCAAAATTTGGCTTTGCCATCTCTCCTTCCTTCTAGTCTTCTGAGATGACATACCATTGTGATAATTTTTTCTTGATCTGTTTTGTATGCTGCCCTTCCTCTCTATGATCTTCCTGGGGTAATATCTACATCCATAACTTCCTCCTAAACCACATCTCCAACCTAGAATTATCTCCCAACCTGCCTATTAGTTATCTTCCCTCAGATGTTCCCGAGGCACCTTATCATTGACATTTTGAAAACAGAGTTTATTCTGTTTTCTTCTAAACCTACTGCTTGTCTACTCTTCTTCTGGAGAATGACAGCATTATCTTTCCACCCAGTCAGTAAAGCCAGGAAAGTAGGTGTGCTCATTTCTGCACATCTGCTCCTCCTTCCCCCATCTGATCTATCATAAAGTTTAGTTAATTCTCTTTCCTTAATAGCATATATTCTTTTACATTTTTTACTGTTGTAGTTTATTTTAGGCTTTAAATCTCACTCAGAAATGTTTTTTCGTATTTATAATTGACTCACTGTCTTTAGTCTTGTACTCCTCCAATTAATTTCTCCATGTTGCTGCCAGAATAATACTCCTTTTTTTTTTTTTTTAGAGATAGGATCTTGCTCTGTTTTCCAGGCTGGTGGAGTCATAGCTTACTGTAGCCTCCAACTCCTGGGCTCAAGTGATCCTCCTACCTCAGCCTCCCAAATGACTGAGACTACAGGCATGGACCAACATGCCTGGTTAATTTTTACTTTTTTTTTTTTTTTTTGAGACAGGGTCTTGCCATGTTGCCCAGGAACCTCAAGTTCTCAAGGAATTCTCCCACCTCAACATGCCAAAGTGTTAGGATTGCAGGCCTGAGTCACTGCGCCCAGCCAGAATAATATTCTTAAAATGCAAATTTGATTGATGTTGCTCTAAGTAATAATTTTTGCTGGCTTCTCATTGCTTACGGAATAGTTACTGCATGCGTTTCCATTTTTATCTTATTGTATCTCCTCTTCCCATTTTCCTATGCCTCAGTTTCTGACAATTGCATTCTACTCCTCTATAACACTTTGGATGATATGTGATTATGAGCAGGATATGTCTTTTAGATCAAAAGTCCACAAGACTCCGGTGGGTCATGAAACCTTTTTGTTTTAAAGCCCTCTGTTCATCAGTTTATATGCACATTTCATCAACATCAGTCATATTTGAAGCTTGATGCATTAGTGAGCTTTTTTAGACTAGATCTTTAAATGTATGTATGTAGATGTACATAGTACAAAATTCAAATTGTTCAAAAAAGTGTATGGTGAAAACTGAGCCCTTGCCACCCCTTTTTCCCTAGCCTCTTTTTTTCATCAATTTCTTATGTATTCTTCCAGAGATATTCTATGCTTATATATTCATATGCTTATATCTACGTATAAATAAATATATAAATACCTGTAATTATATAAAAGATAGCAATTCTACGTTGTTCTGTACCTTTTGTTTCTCTCTGTATCTTATGGATTCTTTCATATCAATTTGGATAGACCTATCTTATCTTTTTAATGATGGCATGGAATTTTCTCATTCTTTGGTTGATGACTATTTAGGTTATTTGTCATGTTTTGCATACTTATGACATCATGTAAGTTCCTTTGGAGATATCCTTTGTACCTATGTGAGTATATCTATAAGGTAAATTTGAATCCAGCAGGGAAAGATATGTTCCTGACATCCAGAATAATAATTCTTTATAATGGTGTTTCCTCATGAAATCTCTCTCCCGCAGAAGGGCCTAGAATTGTCAGTTCACCATTCTTTGTCAGTTTGACGCTTAGGTGAGGGGAACAGAGTGTGAGAAGCTTCTCAGACAGGAAAGAGCATGCCACACCCAAAGGAACAGAAATAAGCAGTGTTGTGTGTGTGTGTGTATTTCCCCCCTTTTTACAGAGCTTTTTCTTCTTCTTTTTTTTTTTTTAAGGTAGAACCTAGCATTTTATTTAGATCTTCATTAAACTGTTGGAATTGAGAACCAGACATGTGTAATAAACCTCCAAAAATAGATCCTGAAAGGCACTTTCTGCTTTGGGCAAGCAGTCATGGAATAAGCATGTAAACAAGCTGACTTCTCTATCACACCAGCCAAGTCAGTTTTCTCCATGGCCAGCCGCACCAGCTCTGCCCTCCCTTTGTTAACACGCAGCCAGACCCCCGGTAGGTCTAACCCAAGGTTTTTCTGTAGGACACCTTGGCCTACCTAGGAATGCTAGAAACATGTTGTTAAAGGAATCATGGTAATCATGGTATTGAGAGAAAAAAAGAATTTTGAAAGCTGCCATCTGAGGTGATGCCTTCTGTGTACTTATGCCATACCCTAGAATACAATAAATAAGCAATTAGAAAATGTTCAAGTATGAAGGGATTTCCTCCTCCCCGCCAAAAACACTGCTCTCTGAAGGAAGCTGATTTCTCTGTAGCTACATCAGCTGTTCAGAAAACTCATTAGACCTGGTTTTGAAAATAAAACAAAATTAAAACCCTGGGAGGAGTTATCGTGCATGTGGAGTACTCAGACTTTCTTATAAAGAAAAAACAAGTTATCTGGTACCAAAGTGTGCAACCTACAGACTCTCAGGGACTGCCCTGTGACTTCCCTGTATGGTATCATAAAGGTGCCAAGTGCCTGTTTTTCTAGAGCTAGGAGTTGGTGAGGTTTGGCTAGTGCTGAAACCATGCATAGGATTGGTTTACTAAATTAAACCTTACTATGTATGTCCTCCAAAATACAGCTGAAAGTGGAGAGATTTTGATTTGGTACTGTTAAAGAGGTGGCAATTAAGAGCATAAGCACCAGGGAGATGATTTAATGGTAACTGCCTTTTTTTGATGTCAGGCTAGAGCTCCAACTGGGAACTTGCATTACATGCAAGATTGACCAAATAGAGAACACTCCCTGACAAAGAGCTCATAATTAGAAATGGATCAAGTTCCAGGGAGGATAAGGGGAAGACTTCACATTCATAATAGAGCTCAAGACATTACAAATTCATGCTGACAGGACTGTGGCATTGCCAGACAGAGGCTATAAGTGGAACTACAAGTACTTTATGTGCACATTACAAGGACATTTTCACCATCTGGTGGGAAAGTCAATGCAATTAGGACTTTGGAGCATTGGGTCATAGGGCACAAATGTTCAATTTCAAAGCATTATTTACTACAGTGTTGTTTCTAGGCAGTTACATGGATCACCTGTGCTCACTAAATTCATTACAATGGTAAAAAAAACACCTAGGGACAGAATAGCAAGCCCAACAAAACACCTAAGATTATTTACTACAGTGTTGTTTCTAGGCAGTTACATGGATCACCTATGCTCATGAAATTCATTATCGGTGAACAAAACACCTAGGGACAGAATAGCGAGCCCAACTTACCCACAAATGCTAAAATTCATGTCATTGACTAGTGACTACAACTGATCAGGCACTGAAACAGGACAGGAAAATTTAGGAAGGAGGGCCCTTTCCCTCAGAGCTCGAAGCCTTCTCTGTTGCCTACGCCAACAAGTATGGGGGAAAAAGGCTAACACTTTCAATATTTAAGCTTTTTGGGCACTTCCCATGGGAAGCTATCCCTACCAAAGTGACCATAGGCTGCAGTCCTCTGGCTTCTTCAGATCCAGATCCCTGACAATGACCCTAGGGTGGAGACTGAAATTCTTCTTTACAATCTCTAGTAGCTCTCTCTCACTCTTCTGAGAGGTACCATAATGGAAAACGGAGATAGATAATGGATGAGAAACTCCAATAGAGTAATAGACCGGAACAAGAATCCTTCTGCACAGACCTCCTGTTACAAGGGATTTTGCCACTGAATGAGCAGCATAAGCAACTGAACGGTTGACCTTAGTATAAAATCCTTTCATGAAAAGACATCTCCTCTGTGAACACCCCAACCTCCATAAGTGTCCACAATGGTTTTCAGTCCAGTTGTACAAACCAGTGTCACCCAGAGCCCCACCAATAACAAGTCTGCCACTTGGCTGTAGGTGGTAGATTATATCCTTATCAAGGTATTTTGCAGGCACAATGGCTTTGATGACTTTCTCCTTTAGGGCATCTCTCATCTTATCAAGACAAACCTCTTCATCATGCGGAACAGTTATAACAATTGTGTGGACTCTGATGGGAAGCATAGCACCTCAATCCTGCACAGTAACTTGAGTTTTAGAATCAGGGCATAACCAAGGCAAAGTGCCATTATGGCATAGTTCTGCCAGTTTGGCTTTAAGCTTGTATGCCAAGACAATGGTTAAAGGCATACATACATTCCTCAGTTTCATTAGTGGCATAGCCAAACGTCAAGCCCTGGTGTCCAGCACCAATGTCTTCTTCATTTCTGTCAAGATGAACACTTTGAGAAATATCTGGTGACTGTTGCTCCAAGGCTACCAGCACATTACAAGTCTTGTAGTCAAACCCTTTGGAAGAATCATCATATCCAATGTGTTTAATAGTTTCACGAACCATTTTCTGGTAGTCAGCAGCAGCTCTGGATGTAATTTCCCCAGCAAGAAGGATCATTCCAGTTTTAGCAGCAGTTTCACAAGCTACTTTGGCATCAGGATTTTGTTGAAGGTGGGCATCAAGGACAGCATCACTGATCTGGTCACAGATCTTATCTGGGTGGCCTTCCCCCACTGACTCTGAGGTGAAGAGGAACATGCCCTCCTCAATGAACGCCTAGTGGAAGCTGCTGAGCTCCTGTTCATGTTGGTGTTGGTGGCGGTGAGTGGAAGTGGCGTTGAAAAGGAGCAGCAGCAAGACGGCGGCTGCGAAATGTGCAAGCTGCGGATGGCATTCTACTCAGAGCATAGAATCAGGGTGTAACCAAGGGTGGTGTGGAGTGAACCAGGGCTTTTTCTCGGTGTGAAAAAAAGAAGCCAATGTTGATAGAGCTAAATGAATGAAGGGGAGAGTGATAAGGCAATGACTAGATTATGCAGATTTTATAGTCCATGTTAATGAGTTTAGATTTTATGCTAATTACAATAGGAAGCCATTGATGCTTATTGTTAGTAAATTAATGGGAGACATTTTGCCTCTTGGCTCGGGCACTTAACCATCACTTATATGGTTATTTCCATGAGAAAATGTTTTTCCATTTATAAACAATGAGCTTTACAAATAAAATTGTTTTTCCAAGGGCTTTATATATATGCCATTATATATGAAATCTTCCATAGTTTTTTTTTTTGGGAATTGAAAAACCTGTAATACTAATATACAATTACTAGCCATGATTTCTTAAGACAAGTTTTTTAATTAAAGGACGTTAACTATTAATTCCTTCCCCCCATTTTTATTTAGAGATGATGTAACACTGCTCAGACAAGAGGTCCAAGACCTACAGGCTTCACTTAAGGTAAGAATAAAAATTATTATACCTTTTTATTTTCAGTGTTTCAGGTAATATCTCTTTTTAAATTTACTAATTAAAAATCTTTTTTATTAGGAAGAAAAATGGTACTCGGAAGAATTAAAGAAGGAATTAGAAAAATATCAAGGGCTACAGCAGCAAGTAATTGCTTTTAAATACTTAAAGCATGTTTATTAGTTGTTTATTTTTATTGTTGAAAACTAAATACCTTTTTGCAAGCAGATGGCGGCCTGATATAAATAACTTCCTAATGGCCTACAGTGTATATTCTTTGTAATTCTGATAAATGCAAACAAATATATGAAGAGTAAAGATGTAATTTTTTTAAAGGTGTTCCATTAAAAATCAGTTACTAGATGGGCCTATGCCTGTAATCCCAGCACTTTGGGAGGCTGAGGCAAGAGGGTTACTTGAGCCAGGAGTTCAGGACCAGCCTGGGCAATACAGGGAGACCCTTGTCTCTACAAAAAATTTTAAAATTAGCTGAGTGTGGTGCCATGTGCCTGTGGTCCCAGCTACTTGAGAGGCTATGATCTCACCACTGCACTCTAACCTGGGCAACAGAGCAAGACACTGTCTCAGAAAAAAAAAAGAAAAAAAAAAAGAATCAGGTACCTATATGTTGTTTTTTTTTTAAAACCAGGCTATATTATTCTAATTTTTTATAATATATCTAAATGGCCAAAAAAAAAAAAAAAAATAAGAATAAAAAAAGGTTCAAACAGTAGTGAGTCTTCAAAGCATTTAAGTTTCTGAAAAATTGATAATGACTAAAGTGTCTGTTGGTAGGGAAAAAAATATTACTAGCTACTTATAGCTAGTAATATTATTTATTATGTTAGTGAAGATTAAAAACTGGGAAACCTGTTCTATTAACAATGTTAAGTTTTTTAAAAATGAAAAAATATGTATTTGTACATACATGCACACACATGCATATTCTGTATGACTTTACATAAAAATAATACATGGAAAAAAAACAGGAAAATCACTGCAGTATCAAAAGTGGTTCTCTCTGAATAGGATTTTTTTGATGTCTTAGTTTCTGTGTAGTTTAATGTATTTTCTAAGTAAATGCCTTAGTTATTATTTTTATGCTGAAATTATATTGATTTTATTCTGAAATTATAGGAAGAATCAAAGATTATTGAAATTTTACCAAATCCACAGTCATCATTTGTAAGAATAAAAGTAGTTACCCTTCAGCAATAATTCTAATATTTTTGTGAAGTAATTAATAATCCCTTTGCATATTATCTTGTCATATTGTGACTTTAAGAGAACCTTTTTTGCTTTTTAAAGCCTTTGCACCAAGAATTGGCAGTTGGACTGAAAAAGACAAAAACAAATAAGTAAATGACAAGATAATCAATCTTATTTCTATTCAGCTTCTCTAATTGGTGATTCTGTTAACATTAAAGAAGTTTTTAGTAATCTAAAATACTTACAGCTCATTTACTCATGTTTTGTATAAATGCCATTAATAATTAATCGAATATGGGCTGTATTCTTTTCTGTATCTGAAAACAGAGTGGTAATTGTTTACTACATTTGAGATGACTATTTCACATTTAATACACTTAAATAACTTCTCCACGGTGCAAGGTGTAAGTTACCTTGGCAGGAAATTTACCTTTGGGGGGAAATATATTTTAAATACTTATGATTCTTTGCAATCAGTATGTCTTAGTTCAATGCAAAGAGAAACAAAAAGTAGATATACTAGGAAATGCCTTATTAAACTCTTTCAGATGGGTGTAATTCTTTAAAATACAAAAATAATGCCAAAGTAGTATATTATTTTGTTCCTAATGCATGTGACAAATTAAGCCTTATGGAATCTGTTATTTCTGCTTCTTTTAAAGTTGACTTGTCCTGAATTAAAAATTTATGCTTATAAAGCCAATTTTTTTAGTAGTGATAGTTTTGATAGCATGTTTTAACTAATGCAAATGTTCAACTATTATAGGTGTTGTGTTTGATTGTAATAAGAAGCATGATTTGAAGTATGATTTCACAAATTGCATGGTTTATTGCCAAAGAGAAATTTTCTTAGGTTCACAGTGCTTAAAAGGGGGAGAAGTAACATGAACAAATCTTGTGGAGAATATCAATTGATGAGGTATACTAACCATATAGTGAATAAGCTCCAAAATTATTAAAGTCTAGTCATCTATCAGGATGGAAGCAGGTTTTTGTGAAAAATAAAGTCTAAAAGGATTGAGGTATACCTTTTTATATGAGCAGTCTCTCTGGAGAGATGGCATCCGAAACAGTGGAGATACCGGACAATGGGGATCTCCTCCTGCTAGAGGAGATGTAGGTGTTGGCTGGCGAGACTCAAGGCTCAAAGGCCAACAGGATGTGGTCCTGTTGCAGCATGAGCTGCCAGTCTGAATGAAAGCAACTGATAAAGTGCAGCCTGCCATGACCTAAGCTTTCAAAGTGTCTTTCAAACTCTTTGGTTAATATGCATTTTGAAGTCCAGTAGTTGAGGTCAGTAGCTCAGATCTGGGGTATGATAAGGTCTGATGTAATACTACTGAAGAGAGGAGAAGTTCATGCCAAGTTCTCACATATGGGGTCTAACAAGTATCACATGCTTGAGTGGAGGGGGATAACACTCCAAGTTCTTATTACAGCAAAATATATAACATCCATGTAGCAAACTATGTTAGGGTTTGAAATTATTTCAGAGCTACATGCTAACACGATTGAATGTTGTCAGTTGACTTAAGTATTTGTTTTAGAATCTATATTTATAATTACAATAATTGCGCTATTTATTTATTACTGAGTTCATGGAATTTAAGATGACCACAATAACTTCATATATATTAACATACAAAAAAAATCTATGTTAGAACTAATAAACTAATAAACTGAAGTTAGATCATTATGCTAGTCTGCCTGCTGGTCTCTTACAGATCTGGAAGAATGGAAACTACCAAATTTAGATTTTCACCCAAATCTTACTACTTACCTGAAAGAATGTGACTTTCGAGATTTTTTAAAATTGACAATTTTAACAGTCTTATCTTTTCCTTTTAATTCATTTGTTTATGTCTTTTGTTTTAATTGAGGAGGCTAAACCTGATGGGTTGGTGACTGATTCATCAGCAGGTAACTTTACTTAAAGCAGATGTTTTTTCAGTTTTCTTTTTCTTCTTATTTTCCTTTCTTTTTCTTTGATGCCTGCTAAATGAATTTTGTTTCATGGTTATGCTTTATGACTCTAAAACAGTGAAGATAATGGTCGTATTCTAGGTTTAGAGAGTTACATGTGAACTTCATACTTTAATCAGTTAACTAAAACTTTAGTTTTCTTAGTTCATTATATTTTGAAGTAAGGAATAAACTTCTGGAATATTACATTAATATGATTGTTTAATGAAATTTTAAGTCTATGTTAAGAATAAGATAGTTTCTTCATGATGAAGTATTAGGAGTTGATTGCATACTTTAATGAGTTAAAAATTTTAAGGCCTTGATCTTAACCATTTCTAATTCATCCTGCTTTATAACTAATTTTAGCAGAGGAGCAGAATGTTTTCGTTTTTGAGCCAGGCTTGATGGCTCATGCCTGTAATCCCAACACTTTGGGAGACTGATAGGGGAGAATGGCTTGAACCCAGGAGTTAGAGATCAGCCTCAGCAACATAGCGAGACCCCCATCTTTAAAAAAAAAAAAAAAGACTGTATTCCTTTTGGCTCAGTTGATGGATATAGGAAAAGAACTGTGAGATGTTAAAATAACTTTTAATCAAATATTTATAGATTATTTGGCAGTGATTCTAAATATTCCTTTCATTTGTATTGTGTTTTTAAGTTATGATTTATACCTTAAATGAAGCAGATATACTTAATTTCTTGAAATGTCAAAACACTCTACTTGTAATTGGATAATAAACTTAAGTTGATCATCTTTACAACTGTAATGAATATAAGTAATAACAATTTAGCATATGTAATTAACATGGTATTTGAATAACCATGGCATTTTTTTGTAGAACTACAGTCTTTGGAACAGCAATTAGAAGAAGCCCAAACAGAAAATTTTAATATTAAGCAAATGAAAGACTTATTTGAACAGAAAGCAGCCCAACTTGCTACTGAAATTGCAGGTAAATTGTATTAGAATTTTTTAGCCATTAAATCAGTCTCATTACCTTTTTGCCATTATATACCCCAGCAATAAATATAGTATTTTAGTGTGTTAAAGCATCTGTGATAGACTTACAATGGTGATTAATGGAATTTAATGATTTCAGAGTTGCTATGTAAATTATTTTGTTTGTCCTCTAGCTGCCCTCCGTCAAAGGACTGGTGTTTCTCTGTAGATTCATCTTGAAATTTAGAGAAGATACATTTTCTTCTATGACATGCTTAAAGATTAAAAGGAACATTTTAAAGAAGTGAATTAAATAATATAGTATAAATGTAATACTTGGTTATACTATCACATATGTATTTTTAACATGTGCTTTTAGGTAGAATGTGATTAAGTATACATTAAAATGCTAATTATTAATGTTGAGTGAAATTTATGTAGACAAACAGTTAAAGTTCATTTTATGTAATTAAAAGTATAAATTTACTGTATTATGTATTTATGGTTATCTAAGGAATGACAATTTGAATTAGAGTGATATGCAGATATGCAGAGTAATATACGGGAACTTATAAAACTGCCCTTCCCTTAATGTCATAAAACTAATATTTATATAACTATCTTTAATTAGATATAAAGTCAAAGTATGATGAAGAAAGAAGTCTCCGAGAAGCTGCTGAACAAAAAGTGACACATCTGACAGAAGAATTAAACAAAGAGGCAACTGTAATTCAAGATCTGAAGACGGAACTGGTAATTTAGGAATTATTTATTGAGATGTGCTCTTATACCTTTCTAAATTAAAAATAAAATACATACCCTGAAGGAAAATGTTTAAAAATATAATTTGAGTGAAATGGAGGAAATAAGGAATTCCCTATATTCTACCACCTGCATTTATATTCTGTATATGATTTTAAAAATAAAAATGGAATGTTATGATACATAACTTACTACCTTAACATTTTTATTGTTTCTATCTAAATATCATCTGTAATTTTAGTAGTTTACATATCTGCATCTCTGATCCTGGTCTTCTCTTGCATATTAGTTTTACAGATTCATCTGCTTTTAGGGTACTTTGTGTTGAATTTCTAGCTTTAATTTCAAATTCAACAGGTATAAAATCAAAGTAATCATGTTTCCTCATTACTGTATTTCTGTTATTGGAACCATACTTCTCTAATACTCTCCCAAGACTTAATAATCTTGGATCTGTCCTTGACTTTCTTTCCTTTATTTAGCTCTCAGAAAATATATAAATTAACTACATCCAACCTGCAGCATCTATGCTTACATCTGCTCCTTCATTTTTATTCCTAGGATAGGAAAAGAAGGAATGTGGCATTTTCAAGTCAGTGTTATGACCAATAGATGTAGTTTGTGAAGGAAAGGAAAACAAAGTAGTACAGATAATTGTGAATTTACTAGACGGCACCTTGAGTAGTAATACTATTAAATGCAAGGTAGGGTGGGAAGAAGTGACTTATTGTGGGAGAAGATATCAGTGTTCAGTGTTTGGAATCTAAAAATTGATATTGAAGATTGTTTCCCTTTTGATTTCTTTGTAGTGAAATTATTCTAAAAATGTATATTATTTTAGTTTTTCACTTTAATTTTTAATTAAAATGTGTTGCTTCACAGCTTCAGAGACCTGGTATAGAAGATGTTGCTGTGCTAAAGAAGGAACTGGTGCAAGTTCAAACACTAATGGATAATATGACCTTAGAACGTGAGCGAGAATCTGAAAAACTCAAAGACGAATGCAAAAAATTACAGTCACAATATGCTAGCTCAGAGGTAATGAAGTTCATGGTACTTAAATGTGATTCATATTAGCGTGTCTAGTATATACTATTGAGTGAAGCCAGGATTTGAGATTTTTCTGAGTGGTCTATCAAAGTATTTGTCTTTCTTTCATTTTTAATCTGAATAATATTTTTTATAGTCAATGTGGTTTTACAGTCAGTATGTTTTGCTTTATAAAGCTAGACATTAAGAGAGGAATATTTGCATAAAGATTGTTATTCTGTTTAATAAATGATATATGTCGCTGACATAATATTTAAGGTTAAATTTACTCAAAGTTAGTTGATAAATGGTAATTGAGTTTGTCTTAGTTTGGTAGAAATAAAGGAACAATGATAGCATTTTCTACAATTATATTACCAATTTTGTTTAGAAAAAATATTTAAGAAAGGCTTATGTTGTAATAAGCTTATTTCTTTTTTTGTTTTTTGAGACAAAATCTTGCTCTGTCACCCAAGCTGGAGTGCAGTGGGGTGATCTCAGCTCACTGCAACCTCCACCTCCCAGGCTCAAGCGATTCTCCTGCCTCAGTCTCCCAAGTAGCTGGGATTACAGGTGCCTGCCACCACACCTGGCTAATTTTTGTATTTTTAGTAGAGATGGGGCTTCACCATGTTGGCCAGGCTGGTCTCGAACTCCTGACCTCAGACGATCTGCCCGTCTCGGCCTCCCAAAGTGTTGGGATTACAGGCGTGAGCCACCGCGCCTGGCCATAAGCTTATTTCTAATTGATAGACTTTGAATTATGAATTTGAAAGAAGTCTTAAAAGGAGCTAGTCTAACATTCCATCAGGACTTCCCTTTATGGCAACCCTGATAAGTGATCCACAGTCCTTGCTAGGTGGTGTAGGGTGTGCATATTTCTTCCTAAGTCTATTCTATTGAACTGACATTTGTTTCCCTGTAATTTACATGCACTGGTTCTAGTTTTGTCCTTAGGAATTACATAGAATAAATTGTTCCTCTTTCCACATGAGGTATTTGAAGACTGCTCATATTTGCTCTGAGTATTTTCTCTTCCAAGATAAACATTCTCAGTTTCTTCCACTATTTCTTACATGACATGACTTTGGCCTGTAAATCCCTTGTATAATTATGTCAGCATATAACAAACTCTAAGATGTATAATGAATAAATTTGCTTAAAAATCCTAGCCTTTGTCCTTTTTACTTTATTATAGGAGACATTTTGTTATGACTACTAATATTTGTAGTCTTTAAGCTCCCTTATGTAAAGTAGACCTCTGATTTTCTTATTTTCAGTTTAAAAACTTGTAACCGTGACATTCTAATTTGAATCTCTTTCTTAGAGTTTTGTAACTGGTGATTTAAAAGCCACTCTATTCATAAATAGTAACATGTCATCAAGCTTTGGGGTATACGTATTATAGATAACCCATGTCTAATTCATTTTTAAAAATCTTTCTTCTTTATCTTATGGAAAGGGATGGTGAAAGTTTGTGGATATAACACACATAGGCATGTAAGGCCTTGTGATGCCTAACACTTCACTCTCTAACTTACGATATTTGGATGCAGATTTTTCAAAATTGACACTTTGTAGCCCAGTAACACTTAATTCCAAAAATTTTCAAACAATTTCAGGTGGTTCATGAACTTCCTGAAGCCAGTTAAAAGGTCTTGTTCTACAGGTATTATTAATCAGCAAAAGACAATGAGTAATCTGTAAGTACAAATGTGGAATCAAGGAGAGACTGAATTAGAAGTCGCATGAGGAAAAGTTCTATTCAGATGTTAGTGTAAAAATACCTAAAGCTGGGTGAACCCAGTCATTTATTTCTTTGTTTCAGTAAGAACTATTTTTGATTAGATATGTCTGCCTACTGGTATTTCTCAAATTAAAAAGAAATTACACTCTCTTTTGATTAAAAAATATCTTAAATGCTATTTGAAATTTTAAAATAAATGTATCATGGTGACTAAAATAGAACCAAATTAATGGCAGTTTTAGGAATACATATTTTAAAGTTGAGTCCTCTCTGACTTATTCCAGCTGCAAGTTTTGGAGTTATACTTGTTAAACAAATAGAGTATTAACAAGGAAATAAATTTACATGTTTACTTGCCATTTAACAAAATATAGACTGAGTATGGTGGCTCACCCCTATAATTCCAGGACTTTGGCAGGCTGAGGCAGGCAGATTGCTTCAGTCCAGGAGTTTAACCAGCCTGGGCAACATGGTGAAACCCTGTCTCTATAGAAAGTTAGCCAGACGTGGTGGCACGTACCTGTACTCCCAGCTAGGTGGGAAGCTGAGGTGAGAGGATTGCTTGAGCCCAGAAGGTTGAGGCTGCAGTGAGCCATGATCACACCACTGCACTCCAGCCTGGGTGATAGAGGCAGACCCTGTCTCAAAAGAAAAAAAAAAGGTGAGAATATAATATAACTTGCTAATGGGAAGACATTTCTAAGTAATATTTTATCTAAGAGTTACTCTAATTTAAGAATTACTCATTTCTAAGTAATATTTAAGAGTTACTGTAATAAATTCTTTTTAAGAATTTGTAATGTGTTTTATGAATTTATATTATTGTAGATTAAAATACCTTTATATCTAAGGGGAAAAAGTAATTTAAGATGAAAAAGCTATGATTAGAGTTTTTTGTTTTTATTTATTTAACAAATTATTTTTGGTTGAGATGGAGTCTTGCTCTGTTGCTTAGGCCGATGTTGACCTCCTGGCCTCAAGCAGATCCTCCTGCCTTAGTCTCCCAAAGTGTTGATATTAAAGGTGTGAGTCACCACACCTGTTCTATGACTGGAGTTATGAAAGATAGGGAGGTGAAAGAATTTAGTGTCTCCCTCCATGGTCCTCCTACAAACAGGGCTAATTGTAGGAAATAGTTTTTTTTTTTTTTTTTTTTCTAGAAAAGATATTTCTAGGAAAGAAGGAAGACGGCTTAGAAATCAGTTCTTCGTGTCTTCATTTAAAGTTTCATAAAAGTTTATCCTTTCAAGTATTTGGAAATAAATTTAGAAAGGAATTTATTTGTGCTGAGTAACTGAATAGGTGATTTAATATTTCATTATGTTTTTAATAAAACAAGAATAATACTTATTACCTATTTAATTAATTAATAGATATGTAGTGATGAATGAGATCTTGGCTATGTTAAAATATTTTGAGTAACTTTAGGAAGTGGTAACTTAAGAGTCCGAATAATATTATTATTAGAAACAAACTCTTACTTTTTTGAGCACCAGTAGGTTTTGGATACTGTGTTAGACACTTAAAACGTGGTCTCATTTGTTTCTAATAACCGTGTAAGTTAACTATTAAGTATGTTTTACATATGAGGAATCTGAGAGGCAATGAGGTTAAGTAAATTGTTCAAGGTCACACCTAACATAGAAGCTAGGGTCGGAACTCAGGTCGTGTCCAAAGCCTGTGTTATTCCCTTTTTATCGTGCTCTCTCCTAATTTAGGTGGTCTGATGATTGCCTTGTAAGTAAATTTGTGCTATTAATCTTGTCCTAATACTTATTGTTAATTTTTGTGTTTTGCCATATTGTGTGTTGTAATATTTGTATTGGGTAATAGCTAATACTTTTGAGTTATGTTATACCATTTCCATATGGAAAAAAATTACTGTCTACTTCATTTTATTTGTTTATAACTGCATTTGTTTTTTAGCATTTCCTTAATCTGAATATATGATGTTTTATTAATTTATTAAAATTCAATTCTATTTATTCTCAGTTAAGTATGTTAGTGAATTATAGGATTTAATACAACAATTTTTATTATAGATGCTGCCGTTTTTACCAAACCTAAATATTGGCATCAGAAACAAAACACATACAAAGGAATTAAAGAAGCTTTATTTTTAAGGGCCGGGTGCAATGGCTCACACCTGTAATCCCAGCACACTGGGAGGCCCAGGCAGGTGGATCACCTGAGGTCAGGAGTACAAGACTAGCCTGACCAACACGATGAAACCCTGTCTATGCTAAAAATACAAAAAAGTAGCCGGTGTGTGGTGGCACATGCCTGTAATCCCAGCCACTTGGGAGGCTGAGGTGGGAGAATCCCTTGAACCTGGAGGTGGAGGTTGCAGTGAGCCAAGATCATGTCATTGTACCTCTAGCCTGGGCAATAGAGTGAGACTCTGTCTCAAAAAAAGAAAAAAATTATTTTTAAATGTCAAATAAACATTTACTTCAATTTAATGGCAATTTTAGGAATATGTATTTTAACATTTATTTCAAATAAATGTTTATTTGACTAGTATACCTGGTTGGGGCTGAAGATGTATAATCTGGTGTACGTTGTTAAGTATGTATGTCCTTGTGTTTATTACTTTTATTGAATGCATACCTTATGAATACATTGACTTCTTTTTGCCTGGGCATTTTTGAAGGCATATAGAAAATATCTCATTCTAAAGCATTTGAAAATTCTTTATAAACAATTGGCTGTTTTGTGGGTTGGAAATAGAGGATTTAAAAGTTAAAAAGTATTATTTATAAAAGTCTACATTATTGCAATATCTAGGCTGTAATCAACTTGTATTTGGTGTAGTATTTAATGGAAATGATTTTTAAAGAATTTTATGTTTTTCCAAATAAACTCATTTGAATCCCAGTTTTAAGAGCTAAAATGCTTATGTAGATATGGAATAAGTATGATTAGACCCATGCATAGCTATGAAAGTATTTAAATATCTTTTAAAGTATGCTTATGTAAGAGACTAGACTTGCAGGCATGTTTGGTCATTTTTATTATGTGCTCAGTGTGTACTTTTGTCAGTCTTGTCTGCCACCTTTCATCCACCATTTTGTTATTATTTTTTCTGCTTTCTAATGGAGATGCTTAAATTTGAGGTAATGTGATTTTGGGAGGCTTTTTAATATTAGTAATACCCTTAATGTATCACCTTCAATTGTTATATGGTAATTTTATGTTTTAAGGCAATCTTAGAACTTCAAAGATATCATGCATAGCTTCAACCATTTAAAAATGATTATTTACTAATAGTTGTAGTATATTAAAACAATAATTTTTTTTTCTTGGCCATATTTTATTTTATTTATTTATTTTTTTAAGGTAAGAATTTCTTTTTTTTTTTTATTATACTTTAAGTTCTAGGGTACATGTGCATAACGTGCAGGTTTGTTACATATGTATACTTGTGCCATGTTGGTGTGCTGCACCCATCAACTCGTCAGCACCCATCAACTCGTCATTTACATCAGGTATAACTCCCAGTGCAATCCCTCTCCCTTCTCCGCTCCCCACAATAGGCCCCTGTGTGTGATGTTCCCCTTCCTGAGTCCAAGTGAACTCATTGTTCAGTTCCCACCTATGAGTGAGAACATACGGTGTTTGGTTTTCTGTTCTTGCGATAGTTTGCTGAGAATGATGGTTTCCAGCTGCATCCATGTCCCTACAAAGGACACAAACTCATCCTTTTTTATGGCTGCATAGTATTCCATGGTGTATATGTGCCACATTTTCTTAATCCAGTCTGTCACTGATGGACATTTGGGTTGATTCCAAGTCTTTGCTATTGTGAATAGTGCCACAATGAACATAATTTTTCTAATGCACCAGCAGGATGTTTGCTTGAAACATCATTCCTTATTTTGTAATGTAAAGTTTTTTAGTAAAAATTCGTATTGAATTCAATAACATTTCAGACAATCAAGGGAAATGCAAACTGTTTTATAGGATCTAATGTTTCCTTGGAAATAAGCATCTATTATCTATTTGGAGGTATAATTACTCATTCCTTTACTGAGTTTTTTTGGGTTTACCAAGTGTCAGGGACTGCTTTAGGTGTGGGGATTAAAATACCGAATAACACAGAATACTTGCTCCCATAAGGCTTAATCCTTTCTGGAAATCAAGCAAGAGACTGTACAAGTACACTGAATCATGATAGAAAGCCAGGTAATAATAAGGGCTGTGAGGAAGAAAAATAAAGCACGTATAGGCCGTAGTGGAAGTGAGAATACTGTAGAACAGTTTTAGAGTGGTTGGGGAAGATCTCATGGAAGATATGTGTGAGAAGAATGAAATAAGCAAGAGTCAGAGTTAAGCAGTGGGAGCTAGGATTCCCAGTAGGAGGTTAAAGTCCGAGGCACGTATAAGCTTGGCCTGTTAAGAGAAGAGAGTCAGTATGAACAGAGATCTTTGAACCTCACCATAGTGATGTCTGAAGAGGGAATGTATTTACTTTTTTTCCTTTGTAATTATTGTCTGTCTTTAATCTTTATTTTGTCCCCAAATATAAACATAATATGTGATTATTGTAAAAGATTAATGATTCATAATGTACAATAAAAAAGGGGAAACCTTTCCAGAATTCACTCTCCTCACTCTTCTTCTTCATAACTAAAGTCTGCCTCTGGATGTATAAGTCTTCCCACATCTTTCTTTATTGTCCCCTTGAGTAAATTTTAAAGTTTTAAGTGCTGGAATTTATCTATATAAAAATCTTAGTTTTCACAATATCTAAATTTGTTGTACAAAGTGTAAATGATACACTTAATGTCCAGTTTTTTAGTTGTTAACCTTATGCAATCATTTGTAAGAACATATCTAAAAACTATAAAATAGGATACAAAAAAGCAATAAAATAGTATATTTTTGGAGTATGTTTGCTTTACAGTTTCCTTCTTTCATAAGGAAAATTCTATTCGTATTCTTACTAGAAATTCTTATTTCTACATGTTGGAATTTGTCAGCAAGACAGACCTTACACTTGGCTTACTACGTTTTATAAACTTCAATATGAAATCATGATATTTTAATGAGATACACACATAATTTATATTTTAATATATACTGTTATTATTTCTGTGCATTATGTGCCGGGAACCTGTGCAAATTTTTTTGATAAGACAAGTAGGGATTTAAATGTGATATTGTCTTTTGTAATAAATTGGCATTTTTGCTATATGATTAAAACATAGTAAGTTAAAATAGTCAAATTGTTCCTGATGTTTCTTTTAACATCTGTAACCCTACTAACAAAAAAAATTTGAGATTCAAAATTTTTAGAAATAGTAATTTGAAATAAACTTGCAATAGCTAAATCCATTTCAAGGTTACATGTTCAGTTTAAGACAGATGGTTTTAGGGTAGGGCTTTAACTTGAGTGTAGTTGAAAATACATGAATATATCAACATTTTCTTCTTTGAATTATTTAAGGTTATATATATATAAAAACATATCAGCTGTTACATATGACACTGAAGCACTGTGTATAAGGTGTAACAATATGGTAATGTTACAGATTGCCTTTCATTGCATCGGGATTTGTACATTTAAGTGAATGTTTTCCCAAAAAGGTCAGGCCATGCATGTATCTCAGACATACGCCATTCCTAAAAACATTTTTGAAACCTACTTTAATTGACTTTTAGTCCATTTGGAACACACTAAAAAAACTAATTTTGTTAATTTATGGTTATTAAAATAAGCCCAAGAATTTGATCATTCAGTTCAATCACTTCTGATTTTTAAAATAAGCCCAAGTTATTAAAATAAAATGGTTATTAAATAAAATAATTATTAAAATAAAAGAAGCTCAAGTGTTTGATCTTTCAGTTCAATCACTTACCTTGCTTATAAACTTGGTGGTTTCCAAAACTTAAAATCAAAGCCACCATAAAATGGATGAGGATGCACCACCACTGAGAATTCCTTAAAAAAAATAAGTTCCACACACTCTGGAGCGGTTTCCAAAAGAAGAGTAGCCAAAGATCTCTTGAATAATAGCATTGTTGCCACGATAAGTTAGTAGCCTTGTGAGATTTCTCCCTTGAAGATGAAAGTACTCATTTGTAATATATGATATGAATAAGTATTTATAAGTATCAAGAAAAAATTTTAAACTTGTATCTTATTCATATTATAAAGTTTATTCAGTAATAAAGAAATAGACACTGGAAATGATTGTAACTTTATTTATAAAGTGGAAAGTAAAGCCAATAGGCAATATTAGAAATATTAATATAATAGAAAGTTATTTTGTCAGTGTCATTTGCAGCAGACCATACCTAAAAAAAAATACTTAGTCTTTCTCTCTCATGGTTCAGCTTTTATGTATTAGAAATTTATATTTCCAAGATCTTTGCTTACCTCTCTTTCTCTTATATTATTTTTAAATGATCAAACCGTTGCTTTAGTTATAAATGTGAGTTTCACATTTTTTAAAATGTTAAAATGGGCTGGGCTCAGTGACTCATGGCTGTAATCCCAGGAGGCCGTAGTGGGAGAGTCGCTTGAGCCTAGGAGTTGGGGACGAGACTAGGCAACATAGCGAGACCCTGTCTCAACAGGAAATAAAAAAATTAGCTGGGCGTGATGGTCCTAGCTACTTGAGAGGCTGATGTGGGAGGATTGCTTGAAGCAGGGAGGCTCAAAGCTACAGTGAGCTGTGATTGTACCACTTCACTCAAGCCTGGGTGACAGAGCAAGACCTTGTCTCAAAAAAAAAAAAAAAAAAAAAAAAATTAAAAGGCACTAAAGCAAGTTCCTTCCTGATGATTATACCTGACCATATAGTGATTTAACTTAAGGAAGCTGTGTATAACTTCAGCTTGATAACTTCTTTGGACAAAGACATTTTCGTTATAATTTAGAAAGATGATTCACCAGTAGCAAGCCCTGTGTTGCATGTTTGCACATGTCTTAAAGTAAAAGGATAATTTTACGCTATAGAAGTTAGAAAATGTAGACATAACTGGCATATTATCTTTAAATTCTGGAAGATTTAAATTCTGGAAGATTGAAGAACCAGTAAATTTAGGTTTGCAGTTTGATACTTCAGAAACTTAAAGTAGGATGCCAAATTTTCATTTTATGTATTAATAAATAAATGAAGTTGTGCATCTTGGATAAATTGTAAAAATTCGTTGTAAGCCGAGAAAAGCATAATGTGGCAGTACAGGTGGTAGGATAAAGAACAAAATAGAAAATTCCAACAATAAAAAATTTGTTTTCTTAAAACCTTTGTATACTTTCATTTTTTTAATTTTTAAAAAATTTAGTTTGCTTTAATTTTTTTTGTTTTGTTTTGTTAGGCCACAATAAGCCAGCTAAGGAGTGAACTTGCCAAAGGCCCCCAGGAAGTTGCTGTATATGTACAGGAACTACAAAAACTGAAAAGTTCAGTTAATGAATTAACACAAAAGAATCAGGTGAGAATTTTAAAGCTATATATAATTAGTAAATTGATTTCATGTATTTTAAATATTAATATTACATAATTTAAAAATATATTGGCATAGTACAATGTAATTTATTCTGTATTTTTTTTTAGTGTTTAATATGTTCACATTATTATGCAAACCAATCTCCAGAACTTTTTTCATTTTGCAAAGTTGAAATTTTATAACTGTTAACTCTACATTCCTCATTCTCTCTAGCTCCTGGAAGGTTCCAGTCTACTTTCTATCTCTAAAATTTGACTACCCAGGTGCCTCATATAAGTGGAACCATACAGTATTTGTCTTTTCAAAATGTTGTTTTTAAAATTTTTCAACCTTGGGTTACTACATCTAACAGTATTTGTCTTTTTGTGACTGACTTATTTCACTTAACATAGTGTCCTCAAGGTTCATTCATGTTATAGCTTCTGTCAGAATTTGTTTTTAAAGCTGAATGACATTTTATTGTGTGTATATATGTTATTGATTCATCTGTTGATCGACACTTGGATTGCTTCTATCTTTTGGCTGTTGTGAATAATAATGCTACTTTCAACATGGCTGTACACATATCTCTTTGCCACGTTGCTTTCAATTCTTTACCTGTAAGTGGAATTGGTAGATCATATGATACTTCTATTTTTAATTATTTGAGGAACTATCATACTGATTTTCTTTTTTATTATTATACTTTAAGTTCTAGAGTACATGTGCACAACATGCAGGTTTGTTACATATGTATACTTGTGCCATGTTGGTGTGCTGCACCCATTAACTCGTCATTCACATTAGGTATATCTCCTAATGCTATCCCTCCCCACTCCCCCCTCCCCACAATAGGCCCTGGTGTGTGATGTTCTCCTTCCTGTGTCCAAGTGATCTCATTGTTCAATTCCCACCTATGAGTGAGAACATACGGTGTTTGGTTTTCTGTTCTTGCGATAGTTTGCTATGAATGATAGTTTCCAGCTGCATCCATGTCCCTACAAAGGACACAAACTCATCCTTTTTTATGGCTGCATAGTATTCCATGGTGTATATGTGCCACAGCCCATCAGACTAAAAGCAGATCTCTCCGGCAGAAACTCTAACAAGCTCCAGAAGAGAGGTGCGGGGGCCAATATTCAACATTCTTAAAGAAAATAATTTTACAACCCCCCAGAATTGTCATACACATCCAGCCAACACTAACTTCATCACGTGGAAGGAGAAACTAAAGAGGCCTCTACACCAAGCAAACTCCTTAGAGTATTTCTCCTCAAAACACCACCGCCTGCCCTACAAGAAGTCCTGAAGGAACACTACAACAATGGAAAGGAACAACCAGTACCGAAGCCATCTGTAACAAACACTGTCACAAAGTAATCAACATCGCATGCTAGAAGAACTGGCACTCCAACTAACAAGCAAATAATCCGCTAATATCAAAATGACCACGGATCAAAGTTCACGAACATAACAAAATGAACCTTAAATGTAAATGGACTTAAAGCTCGCTCAATTAAAGACACAAGAGGCACAATGAGTAAAGAGCAGACCCATCATTTTCGCTGTGTTCAGGAGAACCCATCTCCCCGCCATAGGCCTCAAAATGAAGCGGTGGAGAGAGATCTCTACCATACGCAAATGGAGAAAAAAAAAAAGCAGGGGTTTTGCCAATCCTAGTCTAATGTAAAACAGACTTTAGAACCACACACAAGATTCAAAAGAAGGCTAAACGAAGGCCATTACATAAATGGTAAAGGGATTCAATTCATCAGAAGAGCTAACTATCCTAAATATATATGCACCCAATAACAGAAGCCACCCAGATCATAAAGCGAAGCTAGCAGATTTACAAAAAGAGACTTAGACTCTCCACTAAATAACAATGGGAGACCTTTAACACCCCACTGTCGAACAGTAGACAGACGCATACAAGACAGAAAGTGTACACAGAGGATAATTCCCAGGAATTGCAACTCAACTCTGCACCCAAGCAGACCTAATAGCACATCTACCAGACACTCTGCCAAAATCCAAGCAACAGAATAACATTCCTCTCAGCACCACAAGCCAGCTTATTCCAAAATTGACCCAAACATAACTGGAAGCTAAGCACCTTCAGGAAATGTATACAAAAAACAAACAATTATATACAAGACTGTCTCTCAGACACAGTGGCACATCAAACTAGAACTCAGGACTAGCAACTCAATCAAAACCATTCAACTACATGGATAACTAAACACCCGCTCCTGAATGACTACTGTACATAAAGGAATAACAGGGGGAGAAATAAAGAATGTTCTTTGAAACTAGTGAGGAACAAAGACAACAGGACCAGAATCCTGGGACACATTTAAAGGAGTGGTGTAGAGAGGAAATTTATAGCACTAAATGCCCACAAGAGAAAGCAAAGAAGATCTAACAAATGTACCCTAAACAAATTAAGAAGAACCAGAAAGCAACGAGCAAACACATTCAAAAGCTAGTAGAGTCAGAGAATAACTAAGATCAGCGGCAGAACTGGAAAGAGAGTAAACACAAAAACCGTTTCCCAAGAAAATCAACTGAATCCAGGAGCTGGTTTGAAAAGATCAAAACAAAAATTGATAGACGCTACAAGACTGATAAAGAAGAAAGAGAAAACAATCAACGATAGACGCACATAAAAAAATGTAAAGAGCGATATCACCCACTCGATCCCAACAGAATAATACAAACTACCAGTCAGAGAATACTGATAAACACTTCTCTAGCAAATAAACTAGAAAGAGCTAGAAGACAATGGGATAAATTTCCTGGAAACTTACACCCTCCCAAGACTAAAACGCAGAAGAAATTGAATCCCTGCAAAGACAATACCAGCGCTCTGAAATTGGACGGCCAATAATTAATCAGACTGCAAACCAGAGGAAAACGTCCAGGACACCGCGACGGATTCACAGCC